AAAATCAATCTTTTTTTTTTTGAAGAATGAATAAGTGCCAAATATATTTAAGCCTGCAGATGAATTGCCCACTTTACTAGCTTTGTCCAATTTGTTCTGTTGTCGCCGTATTGAAAAGCATATATTGCAAATGCACATATAGCCCAAGAATTCTTTCTGATGTTTCATGGAAAGACTGAAGAGCTCAAAATAAAATCCAATCTTGGCTCTGCTATATTCCTGGTAGGTATTAGCAGAATTTATAATGATTGAATGAAAATCCTAGCACAGCTCATGTTTTAGAATATCTTAACACACCTAAGTCAAAATTGAAAGCCTAAAACAAATCATATTTTTTTCCTTTTTGATGAGTATAACTTATGCTCAACACAGTAGTTTTATCTTTTTCACATTTATATATCATATTTAAATTATGAATTTTTAAATCTGAGTTGAGAAAGTTGAATTTGACCAACTTGTAAAATTTTGGATTGTAACACTATCATTCCTTCTTTTGTCTTTCTCTCCATAAGAGGTGTAATCATTTTTCATGAAATCTCTTAAGTCAAAACTTGGTTGTCTTCTCTGGATTCCCAATCCATCTTACTAACAGTCCAATGAATCTCTAAAGTCTTGCAAATTGGTCCTCATTATTACTCATGTCATTTACTCAAGTCAGTATACAATCAATCATTTCTTGTCTGAATCAACATAGTATCCTGCCCATCTCCAGTTAGGACTCCTCTAATTTATTCATCAAATGCAAGCAAAATTTCCTTGCTTAATTCTTCTAAGATTAAATTAATTGCTCCCTCATGGCCACTGAGAAAACTTCAAATTCTTCATAATTTTATCTCACATAATCCTGATCAATCCTTGACCACATTCAATCCTTAACCACGTTTCCAAATCATCTCTATACTGATATCTATAAATTATTTGTTGGAATTTTATGCTTCAGTCACAGTCAAGAAGCCTCTGTGTTACTGTTTCCTTTGTCTATAATAATATCATTCTTTTGCTTCTTTGCTTGGCTTACTACTTGTCAGCTCTCACATTAGATGCCACTGTATCTTCAGGAGTACTTTCTCTGACCTCCAAAACTAGGGAGACACTCCTTCTATGTGCTCCACAGTGCTCTGTGCTCACCCCTATAGTAGGTATTCCTAGCATTACCTCATTGCTACCCAATTGTTAAATGAGGTGGCTAATGACATGAATAATTAGATCTGAAGGACTGATATAACCCCCAATGGGAATTAAATTTCCTTTCTTAGAAATTTGAACTAAAAGACAATACCCATCAATGATTGGTGCTGTGGCTGAGAGGCACATTGTACAGTTCAGGATGACAGTCACATTAGATATGAGTGAATAAAGTTTATGGAACACCAATGAAGCAAAGAAATAGGTCCACAGAGAAAGAAAAACAAACAGAAACAATAGCCCAGCTATTATTTAATAATATCTAAGGTCCAATACTCATAGTACTTAGGTTTCTATATGAATAATAATTAAAAAAAAAAAAAACTGCTCTGTTTGGGTGCAGGGGAGAGATATTCTCTAGCAAGCATTTGTCACACAATACTCTCCTCTTCCAATGGATTTATTAAGTGATCAAATTTGTGAGTTCTCCTAGCACTTAGTGCAGTAGCCAGCATGCATTTGCACTTAATCCAGTGCCATTGAAAAAATGTGCCAAGTGAAGAATGAATATTAAATCTCCAGTATTTAATAATTTAATAATTTACACAAATTTAAGGGTTGGGCTTTATTTAAAATAATCGATTAAATTGAATTTGTTCTTTGCTTACAGTTATCATAAAAGCACTTCTACGTATAGACATAAAAACCCATGAATGGGCAAAAATGAAAAAAAAAGAGTTAGGTTAGAGTTTGATTTGATTCCTAAAGGAATGATAAAATACATAAGCCCCTTGTAAAAGTATTTGACTCTTAAAACAGGTAAGCTTTAAAATGAGCACAGGGTAGACATTTTATGAGTTGTCAAGATTGAAATGCTTGAAATGCTTCAGGTGATTCTATGAGTATACAGTATGAATCCTGTACATTTTAAGTGTGGGTCCAGCAGGGTTATTTGTAGATCATCTCAATGCATTTATTATGTATCTGCATGAAAATCACAATGCAAGGAAAATGCTGCTAAAAAAACACATTAACATTCCTTCAACTTCAAGGAAAAGTCCTGGTATCTAGTCATTAACTGGGCAAGCTGCCCTCAAACTTTCATATGACATAACGTTCTAAAGAGAAACATGTCTTCTGAGAACAATGTATTTCTTTTTAATTCTTTTTGCATTGCTACTCGACTCTGAAGTCCTAATTCCTATGAATCAAAATACTGATTAACTCTCAAGAACTGGTATTAAATACCAGAGTTAATGAATGCAAAGGGTGATAAAAGACAGTATTTAATTTCAAACCCATAAAATAATTTTGGTATGTTATTAGGGCTCTTTATGTTGGCTTTATACTTGCTTATTTGACTCTAAACAGAAGGGACAGAGGACAATATTTTTAAAACCAACATCAATGTTATCTTTCCATCACTCTAATAATGTCAATTAATATCAGTCTTTACTATTTATATTTGAGTTCTCTATGTCTAATGTAGCTTGGTTATATAAGTCTCTTGTTTTTTGTTTTGAGGAAGGTGGAAAAGGAGAATGAGGGAGGAAACTAGTTCACAACACTTTCTGATTTACATTCTGTCTATTTAATTTGAAGAGCCCAGGGTAGTGTGGTATTTCTTATTTCAATTTTACTTTTAATATCTATCTAAGAGCTACAGTTGTGTGTACTATCTTCTATATCAGGAAAGATAATACTACTGTAATATTTACTTATCCTTTTTTATTCTACCCATAGGGATCACTCAAAAATGACTTTCAGTTGCTCTCTGGTTTATAGATATAATTTTTACACAAAAAGAACTTCCAAAAAGTATTGTCTCATCATAACAGATTAACATGACTCTATAGGCTCCTTTTAAATCAAATGCCATTTACTTCAGTCTCCATTTATGAGAGGACATGAAGCTTGCCATATATCCTCATTTTCATTTCTGTCCAAAACCAAATTTAATGCAATTTTCCTATTTGTAAGTTGATAGAAAAACATGATTTACAAACCATCACTATACTGTAGCCTGTCACATACATGGCAAATCAAAAGCTAGCAATAATCTTATCAAGTTACAAATGTTGGAAAATGTTAACATTGAGCCTGCTTCCTAGTAAAAGTTCTATAGGGAAAAACTATTCTGATATTCTGAATTTTTGTCAAAAGAAAGAACTGACAGTGGATATGTTTGTGTGTATGTGTTCGCTGTCAACTTAGACATTTATAACATCTACTAAATTTAGATATTTATGGATTTTTCTTCTTTACTATTAAAATGATGATGAAAGTATATAAGTTGAGGTAAATTAAAGAATATTAAATTATATATCATTTGATAATATAAATCAAAAGTCAATAGGTTAATGAAAATTTTGTTGAAATACATTTTAGGAAAATACTAACTGCACCCAATTTAGAGAATTTCAAGTTTGAAATAGTAATGCAAACAGAAAGCAATGAGAATGCAATGAGAAAAAGATGAGTAGTACATAAAAGAAAGTTCATTTTCATATTCTTTGTATTTTCAGGACATGATAGTCAATTCTATGTGCGTCTGTGGAAATGTATGTGCTCACTCACCACCACTGTTTCCTATGAAGGAAGAAACGTTAATTTGAATGGAGAAATTCTAAGCTGTTCTAAGCCACTGATTGAACAAAATGACTGAGTGGACAGGGTGAATATGAGTCCTGTTACCCATACATAGATCCTTTCTGTGTAGTTGCCTTAAACGAAGAGTTAGGTTTAATTCTCACAGTTCTCCTAAATCTCAGATTGATTTAGGAGGCATCACCCTGAGTTCCTGAACTAAAACAAAGTATTACAACTTTTTTTTTTTTTTAATATATCAGAGGATTCTGTAGTGGAGTTCAAAAGATAGGCTTGCTAGTATAGAAATATTTCATATTCCTATTGCCAGAAATTCTTACATGTATCTGTCCTTGAAGAAATTATCAGGTGGGATAATATGATATTTGATAATTTGATATCTGCTTTACAGCAAGGTTTGATATTCATAGCACCACCAGTCAAATTTTTCCCAGTATTTTTCATGCTATGGTATTAAAAGAAAATTATAAATGTAATTAAATATATTTTATTAATATAGTTCATATTCTATTTTATCACAACTTATATTCCCTGGGAGAAATTAGATGGCTAAGAGTACATGCATGGGGTTTAGTGAGGAAAAAGGAAAAAATTACAATGGCTAAATAGTATATAAAGATAAAATATAAAGCAATGGCAGAGTGAAATAAGTCGTTGCATTTTGGGCAAATCTTATATAATCCTAAGTGGAGTTTAAGGGCTGGATGTCACTCACTGTACTTGCAGCTGCAAAGATAATATTATAAAGTACTTTCAACATTATAAAAAAATTAGGCTGCTCCTAAAATCACCATTTTTTCTGTCAGTTGTTATGAATTAAATGGCCACATACATTTCCTAAACAACATCTTTTCATGACAATTACCTAGAAATCTTGGTACTTTCAAATGACAAGTTGTTTTTTGTTTTTGTCTTTTTCAAAAAAGCAGATGATCAGAAATGTTGAAACTTCTCTTTTACAACTATTAAAACTGTACAGTAGTTGAGATTGTCAATAAAGTAAATTTCCTATGATCATGCAAGATATTTCAAACCCAACAAATAATTTGAAGTCAAATATGTTGAGATCTTGATGAGGCTCTAATATAGAACAGGCATGCACAGTCAGATGACTCTCAGGAATACCTCTAAGTGGAAAGGCACATCAGCCGCAATGAGTGGACAGAGGAAATATCTTGGAAGACATACCGGGGCCACTATTCCGGCTGAGCCTCCTATGAGCCCCTGCCCCGCCACCCCCAGCCCTCTTCCCCCACCGCTGGCCGCACCTTGGGCTGCAATCTGTGCTCCTTGGGCACCTGGACCACGAACTCCTCTGGAAGCTCCACGGGGCCCTTGTCCACGATGCGCAGTGGCTCTCTCTGCCGCAGGCTGCTGAAGGAGATGTCTGGGAGGAAGAGCGCCTCCTGGGCTGCGCTCCGCGTGTCGCAGGGGAGCAGCGAGGGCTGGATGTCGCTCACTGTGCTTGCCACCTGCGGGGACCGCAGGGCGCACCATCAGACTCTGCTCAGCTCAGGCCGGCCTCAGAGGAGCCATTCTAGAGGCTATTCCCAAGGCCACTCTCTGCTGCAGGCCACCAGCCTCTGACTCCAGCCACCCCAGGCCCCACTCAGACCACCCTGGAGCTGAGGAGATTCTATCTCCTGGTCCCTAGCTGATAACCATTATGTTAAACACTCTTCTATGTAAGAAACAGTGAATGTAAGCCAACACTCTCACTTGAATCCCTAACAATAATTAGAAAATTAGACATAATTTTTGAAAGCAGAATAAGCTACATGAAAAAAATTGTAAGTATCATTTCTATTTTTATAGATTCATAGCATTCTGAGTAAATTGTGGCCACTAATATTTATAAAAGTGTAAATTAAAATATTGGTTATTGAATTAAATTTTTACACAAAAAAGTTTGATAAGGTAATGGGTGAAGCAAGTTTCAGAGAGGTTTTCTGTTTATTTGTTTTACTTTGGTGTATGGTTACATTTACATGGATTGTTTTATAATTATTTATATGTTTCAGGTCATTTAACATTTTTGAAAGATAATATATTTGTATCTGTGATGGCCATTAAGGTGAAAAGGATATACATACATTTTTGCCATTTAAATACACAGTGATTTTACTGACAAATGGTACATATTACAAAAATGAATAAATATGAAGACTAAGACAATAATGAAAAAAATAAAATTACACACATGATTTTTTTTGAATAATTCACAAAACAGTCATCATTATATGCTATGGAAAGGAAACAGAACTAATTAAGTACAGGATTTATTTTTCCGATAAATTGGTATACAGGAGATACACATTTTTCTACACTAATTGCAACGAGTGTGTAATAAATAGGAATGATAATGAAAACATGTTGCTATAGACACAAAAACACTTTACAAGGAAAAAAATTTGTTTTACAAAATTATTTTTGACATACTGTAACATGCATATTTAAAAACACATTAATAATGCTACTATTACACAGTCAGGGGAGACAGTAAGAAACTCAATAATGCAAGAGAATTTTATGATCTTCTAACACTGTAAGTTTATAGAGTGGTATGACAATTTCTTGAATATATAATAATTTTCAAATTAAGAAAGAAAACATATCCTCTTCCATATCACAAGAAATGATATAGCCCTGAAAACAAAAATGATATTAAAAAAATCTGCAAACAATCCATCTATGATGAAATCTTTAGCATGCAACTCTAAGCCATAGTCCTGAAACATTTTTATTTGAACTCATTACAATGTATGGTTACTAAAATATCTAGGAAAAAGGAAAAAGGAATGCTATTTTAATAGTCTTGTGAATGAAAAGGGTGTCAAAGGAAACACATTAAAGACCAAAAGAGCTGTGAAAATCAAAATCTTTAAGTAATTACCTCCTTTAATTTTTAACTCCAGCGACATCATTTATTTGATTTCTAAAATATCCCTTATACTATTGCCCAAAATATTAATGTGACTATTTTTTTTTTTAATTTTTTCAATGAATACATAAAGACATGGTTTCCTTAATACTTTTAGAAATACTCTATTGAAGAAAATTAACAAAAGTTTATAAAGCTATCTTATCCTACAAGCTTCAGTTATAATAAAGTTGAAATATTTTATCTCAGTCAAGTTAACATATAAAATCATTGAGAGATATGGAACATGCATTTAGTTGTCCATTCATTCAACACACATTAATAGAGATACCAATATGTGTCAGGTTCTTTTCAAGATGTGATGATTTTACTGAACAAAACAGAACACATACCTATGTTAATGAGTTATCCATTTGGTGTGTGAGATGGAAAATATACAAAAGATTTTTTTTATAAAATACAATATAGAGAATAGTAATCCATAGCAAGTTTAAATAGAGTAATGTGTAAAGGCTATTTTGTTTATATTTTTAGGAAAGACTTATCTACATGAGTACAATTTAAGTTGAGATCTTGATATTAGAAATTGCTAGTCATACAAAGATCTGGAATAAAGAGCATTTCACACTACAAATGTCTCAAGACTCAAACTACCTATGTCTGCTCAAGAAATAGGAAATGGCTAGAAAGTGGACTAGAAAGAGAATGGCCTGGGATGTAATCACAGAGGTAAGCAACAGTAAGATCATGAGCTTTGTAAAACAGGGTGAGGAATTTAAGATTTGGGACAATCAAGTCATCTATTTAGGATACTGAAAAAAGCCCCTAGGAAGGATGCATTGATTGGAATAGGGGGAATAAAATGTATGGGACTAGTGACTGCTACTATAGTGAATTAAAGGTCAATAAATTCAGGAAAAATCAATTTCTAGAATGGGTAGAAAATGACACATGTTGTAAAATATAGGTACAGTGTAATCAGCACTAGCTGAAAACATAATAGTATCAGCATGTAAATGAAAGAATGTTAGTTGAACAAATAAGAACCTGCTTGAACTAGGTTTAAAACTATGAACCCCAAAAGAAAGGTTTGGGTAGGGAATAAATTGGTTTCAAGTAGTGGTTTCAATTTAATTGCCATTAAATTCTGATGTGATTTATGAAATTAGAGTATCTTATTATCTCTTTAATTTAAAATCCCCTTTAAATTTGTTATCATTATATGCAAATCAAAACTACCATGAGATACCATCTCACACCAGTGAGAATGGCACATATTAAAAAAACTAGCAACAACAAATGTTGGCGAGGGTGTGGAGAAAAAGGAACTCTTCTGCACTGCTGGTGGGAGTGCAAACTGGTCCAACCACTATGGAGAGCTGTGTGGAGATTTCTGGACCTACTAAACATAGAGCTTCCATATGATCCAGCAATTCCACTCCTAGGTCTTTACCCAAAGGACACAGAAACATCCATTCCAAAGAACACCTGCACCCCTATGTTTATAGCAGCACTATTTACAATAGCTAAGCTTTGGAAACAGCCCAAATGCCCAAAAATAGATGACTGGATCAAGAAGATGTGGTACATATATACCATGGAATATTACTCAGCATTCAGAAAAGATAAACACATGCAATTTGCAGCAACATGGATGGTGCTGGAAGGGATCATGCTCAGCGAAATAAGCCAGAAAGAAAAAGAAAAATACCGGATGGTCTCACTCATAGCAGGAATCTAGAAAACTTAAATAAGGGACCAGGAAAATGAATAACTATAAGAAAGTGAAAATCAAAATCAACAAAAAATTATGAGCCAGAGACACTTTTTTGGGGGTGAGGGGCAGGAGGGGAGGGATTGATGTCAGAATGGTGGGGCTGCAATTGTATGGGGAATATAAAAATAAAATTTATTATTAAAAAAAAAATAAATAAATTTGTTATCATTATAAAAGAAAACCAGAGTCACCAATTAGTGGCAGCAAAAGTGGAGGAGTTATTTCAATACCTACATGGAGAAAAGCTATATTTGAATACAGCCCAAATCTTCACTTTTGTTTTAAGAAATACTGTATATGTTACTGTAAGATAAAGTATGACTGCTGGGGAAAATATTTGAGTTAGAAATATAAATCTAATCTGTCTTCTTGAAGTTCTTATAAAAATAAGTCTTCAAGATAAATATCACAATAATAAGACTGGATTCCATTAGAAGCATGGAATCTAAAGTCTAGGGTCATTCAATTCACTTCCTAAATAATAACCATTAGAGTATCCATGCTAAAAATCTCCCAAATTTCTCATGAGGAAGGAGTGATCAGAAACTCACTCTGTCCTTAGGGCATATAAATCCATTAGAAGCTACCTCATATATCTAATCTGTCATTCTCTGAATTCTACACATGAGGGGTACATCAAAAACACTACTCAAGGTACTTTTCTTCAGATATTTCAAGATAGCATTTACATCTCATATGTCACTTTTCTTCTTTAGATTAATAAGGAAAGAGGTTTCTTTCAAATTAACTATGGAAAAAATACCCCCCAGAATGTTGTGGCAGTAACTATGATTTGAATATACCTTCCCCCACCCTCACACACACACATTTATACTCTTCTCCCATCTTATTTCAGACCACATTTTCATACTCTATTGAATGTAACTCTAAGATATGTGAAAGGTAATTTTGGGTCTGGCACATGAAGTAATTGATAAGGTCAATGCATTTTGTTCTTTGTAACCTTTAAAGGGAGAGAAACAAATTCTCATTTCTTTTAAAGATTGCATACCTGATTAAAATTTCATTTTTTTAAAGAAGGACATGCTTATATATAAAGATTTAATTACTTAAAATCATAGATAATATTTAATATTTATAAGTGTATGTTTTTGCCATATAAAATTTGTCCACATAATCACTTCATATTCAGATATTTTTACGAATTAAACTCCTTGATTCTCTTTCCCAGTGAGCAAGCATGAAATATGAAAATTATTTCAGAACTTACTGAAATGATCACAATATTTATTCCATGTTCATCAAAGGTTATCAGAACATCTAAGTTCCTGAATAATAGTTATGGGTGAATATGAGGTAAGAATTAAGTAGTGGAAAAATAACAAATATGTACAAAGTAAGGTATTTGTGATGGTAGTACCAGAGTTTTAATCTTATCTATGGCATATTTAATTAACTATCAAATTACCATATTACAAATAATATGCACTATCAGAGATCAATGATGATTTTTAAATAAATAATACAAAAATTTTAAGTATTATTTCTAATCAAATTTAAGTGTTTACTGATTCTCTTTAAATAACAGATTATGGTAATTCAATCAATTATTCAATTTCTTCCTCCAAACATCTACTGATGATAATAGTGATCCTGGAATCTAGAAAAACAATGGATGCAGCACTGAGAGATCTTTACATTGAGAGAAATGCTAACAAAACACCACAGGAACAAATCTGTCAGAGTTACAAGTGATTTAACTTTCATATACTAGGGATGTTTCTCATAAGTCAGTTGTTGTCATAATAATTTGGGGTAGCATTTGAACATATATTTTTAATATTTAGCCTGTT